AATATAATGCCTCTTAACATTAACTACTTGTCACAAATAAAACAAAAATAAAATGTATCTCATCATTTATGAAGTCCTTCAATAAAAGGTTTGCTGTCAGAATAAAATAATTTTCATTTTAATACAATAAGGTGCAAAGTAATAGAAACTAAAACTATTTTTAATTAAAAAAAAACTGTTATGCTAAATCTAAAATTTTAGTCATTTTTCTGTAAGTTTATGCTGGTAGTACAAATTCCTGTCTGTTTTAAGACATATTTCCAGAATCACTTGCAGATATTTTGTGATGAGACATAGTATGCCCTCTAAGGGCAGATTGATAAGTAAAAGTTTGATGACAAAATTTGCATTCATAAGGTTTTTCTCCAGTATGCAATCTGGTATGAGCTTTCATGTTACACTTCTGTGTAAATTTTTTCCCACAAACTGGGCAGGCAAATGCTTGTCTATGTCCAGAAGATAATTCATGAGATTTCCAGCTTACGAGATCTTTCGTGGTAAATGTACAAATTCCACAAGTGAACTGGCCTTTGCTTTTCTGGACAGGTAAACAGGTATATCCTATAAAATAGAATTTTAAAAAAATTGATGTATTTGGGAAAATTTTTTTGTTTGCAAAAAGGCATTTTTACAAGACAAACACATGCTATTAAAAATCAATTCAAAATATTTGATTCTTTCAGATAACTTAATATATATCAGTATTAATAATTAGTTTAACATGTTATGACTGAAACGTAATATGTACTTAACTTAATTTAAATATTTTTTTAACAATCACTATATTACTTATAGAAGTAGAAGTGATACATGAATATTTTTAAATGACAAAGAAACATATGAATAATAGAGCATAAATATTAAACCTTTTATCTTATCTTATATACAAATTATTAAATGCTTTTAATTCAGTCAAAAATAATTTACAACATTATTAAAACACAGAAAGTTCGTGCCATTTTGAAAAGATTTTGAAAACAAAAATTAATACAAAAATAAATAAATGAAAAACAAAACTTTATGCATTAAAATTCAAATAACATTTTTAATCACATTTGAAAGAGACATGGCCTTTAAATTATTCAATATTTTAAAACTAGAAACTTTCAAAATAACTTCATGTGTTATTACTATTCTTCACCAAAATAACAAAACTAATTAAATTATCAATTCTGACAATCAAAAGACATGGAGTTTTTTTCCTTTTCATTTCATAAAGATATTAATTGAATTAGAGTATATCGTTTTGAAAAAAAAATATCTATATTGTATAGCATCATTTTAGTATTGACAATTATATAAATCTCAAAATAATGAATCTATTTAAAGGTTCCCAAATTTGATAAAGAAATAGATTTTAAGTCATGCCTTGTAAATAAAATTCTTTAAAATCCCAAAAATATACATTATAAATACCCAAATTTCACTGAGAAAAATATTTTAAAATGTTTCAGAGTTCTGCATAATACACAAAATGTTTAAATTATACAAATCAATGCAAAATTCAAATAAATTAAATAGCTTTGAAATAATATGTAAATTAAGAAATAATCAGGTAAGTTATAAAAATGTTATTCTGAGGAAGTTATTTAATCTTCATGTACTTTTTCAGCAATCTTTTAAAAATTTTATCATTCTAAATCATAATAAAATAACTACATTAATTTTTTGGTACAATGCTTTTTTTAAATTCATTTACTACCATAAAAATAATGCTGAAGCATATAGAATCACAATTACCATAGATTTGTTTAAGTACATAAGACTATTTAAAAGATGAATTACTGAGAATTGCAAATAGAAAAAAAAAAAAAATAGGGGGGTGGGATAATTATTAAGTCAGGTTGGCTCGTTTTCATATTTTTCCTTTCTTAAGAGTTAAAAAGTACAAAGCTAAATACTAGTAAAAAAAAAAAAAGAGAATATAATGCAATATTTTCATAATTATTTATCTTGCTCATTAATTCTTACAGAAAATCTCGCAAAATAATACACACATTTTAAAGACAATAATAAAAAGCACGGTACATAAACCACCAAATATATTTTCAAAACAACTAAAATGTAAGATGAAAAAGTAAATAAGAAGAGCTACAAAATTCTTTTATTTCTTTTATCTTAAATGATTCCACATAGATTTACAGAATCAAAGTACAATCTAAAATTATATTGTCCCAAATCAATTTTACATAAGAAAAAAAATTAAATTTCTTAAAAATGTCTACATTACAATATATTAAAAATATTTCAAATAATTAAACTAATTTCTCTTTATCTACTATAATACCAAAAATATCAATTTGATTTTGTACCATAAGTTTCTGAAAATTAATTACACAGTAATTTGCATAATAAAACAGTTTTAACTTCAATAAAATAAACATGTTGAAAACAATACTTAATTTAAATTTCATTTGGTCATTACAAAAATCATTGAAGAAAAAAAAAGACAGAGTGAATTTTTGACTGAATAACTGAATACAATGCTCAGCACTCCCAAAATCTTGCTAGTTCTTAGAAAACTATTCTCAACATAAGTTTCCATTTATTTTTTCATTCATTATAGTCTTTTGGAGATAATAATGGTGCATGAAGAGCAATTAGATGATTTCTTAGAGCAGACTGAAAAGTAAAACTTCGAGAACAAAATTTACAGCTGAAAGGTCTTTCACCTGTATGAATTCTCATATGTGCATTCAAATTAGATTTATGGTTAAATCCTTTTTTACAAACTGTACAAATATAGGAACGCTTCTGAGCATGAGTCATTTTGTGACTCCTTAAATAAGCAGGATGACATGTAGTGTACGAACAAAGTTTACATTTTAGTGTAGTAAGCAAGGTTTCAGAACTTGTGGTGAACCATCCTAGAAAACCAAAAAAATTATTTAAAAGTAACCGATTTTTGAAGGAAAATCACAAAAAAGTTTCAAGCAAGGCATGAGTTTAAAATGTACTAAAACTTTAAAAAATATATAATTAAACATTTAAAAAAGCAACTTCTGTACATTTACATTGTAAGCAATAAATATGTCTCCCAATACATTTTAGTGATCAATCAATACTTTTAAATTAAATAAGAAATCTTAAAACAAAGACACACACTCCCACAAAAAAACACCAAAAAGTCCTGTACAGACTCATTTGAAGAAAACATTCTGCATTAATATCAATTAATGTACAGATTCTGAACAAAATATTTCAAATAGTTTTCTCCTAGGGGAAAAATAGCACATACAAGTCTAATAAGTTTTGAGACATAAGCGAATGAATAATTTCAACATAATTGTGGAAAGAATTCAATATTGATAACATACTTTTCAATACATAAATTTAAAAAAAAAAGATTTTTTTTAACGAAAAAATAAATGCAAAGGAAAAAGGTTCATTTATCAGAGAATTAATTCTAAAAAAGGTTATGATCTTTTCTTTCTTTATTTTACAATGTTTTTTAAAAAAAAGCACATTACTTCAGAAATTTTGTTAACACATTAGAACAGCGGCTCTTAAGCTTTCAATTGCTGCAGCTTTCCTTTATGTATCAGCCTGAAGATTGCTGACCCCCAATATTTTGAACACCCAACATATGGCTTGGCGATTTAAGGTTTCCTTCATAATCCTAAGATTGCCTCCACAATTCTTTTACAAATACTTTTATATCATGTGCAATACTTGAAATCTGCAATCTCAGTTTTAGTTCCACACTTTCCAAATGGTTTCTATAATTATTTTTATGATAAAGAATTGAAAATGTTCTTTCACATAAATAAGTTGTTTAGATAGGCATTGAACTTTCAGAACTTTTGTGGGTACCTTGGAAAAATTTCCTGTAAGCGACCCCAAAAGATTCAAAGAGGCTTATTATGTAAACCAATTTCAAAACTCCACCAGTGGAAATTTCCATCAGCTGTTCTACTGATGTGAGAACATCCTCATCGCACACATTTACTGCAAATGGATCTCTAATTCATTTTGTCTTTCGGATACAGGAAAATATTCACTGAAGCTTTGCTTTAGATTTAGTAAATGTTGTGTGTATTCAATAGGGACAAATAAGTGATCTAGTCTAGAATGGCGATTCTCAATTTTTCTGCTAAGCTTTTCAGAGTCTGTAAAAGAGAGAAAAATCTTAACATTGAATGAGAGACCTTCACAAACCCTTGGCAGGAGCTGGAGACTCCCAGGGTTCAGCAGAATACAGTTTAAGAACTGCTGCATTAGAATTATTATTAACTCCTCAAAGAAAGCAGGGTTGTTACATATCATCAAAGTTATATCTTTAAAAAAGTTAATTTTATACTAAAATCACTTTAAAATTTAACTAAATGAATTATTAGAATTATACATAATTATTTTAGAGTGTTTAAAATTTTAATGATTTATCATCTATTCATAAATATTTCACTAATTCAAACATTTAAAACCTGGTTACAGAGAGCTAACAAGAGCATTTTTAAAATTTATGTTTATGAAACTGGGTAAAAGTAATATTCATATACAGTTATTTACTGATACATTGTTCGAGAAAAACATAAACATATGTACAATTAAGTCCAATTAAATTTAAAGAAAACAAACCATTTTGCATTTATTGAATGAAATTTCAGTATTATATTATTAATGTAATACTTTGAAATTAAAATATTTTTTGGAAGAATCGATATTTATTTCACACAGGTTTTATTCTAAAAAACTAACTTTAAACAAGTACTAAAATTTTTTTTTAAAGCCAATTCCTACTTAAGTCAACAAAGAAAATTTTTATTTTAGTTACTTTTTATTAAATAGTTACAATTAATATATATATGCATATACGTATAACAGAATCACAATATTAAACGACAAAATAGGAAGCAATTTTCTTTGTAATTTTCCATTTTTCTTTCTATATATGATGTTGGACTACTTCTTTTGTTTGCTACTGTTTATTCATTAATTAAAATTAATTATTCTAATAAGATAGTATAGTAAAAAAGAAATAACATTCTCAGAAATTAGGCCATCCCAGGTGGGATTCGAACCCATGACCTTTGGATTAGAAGTTCAACGCACTATCCAAAGCGCTACAGGGACACAACAAGCGATTTTCCTTTCTGTATGTGGTGTTGGACTATTATTTTTGTTTGTTGCTAATTATTCATTTTTAATTTAATTAATGAATTAATATTTGAAAAAACTGTATTAACATCAAGTGTCATCCACTACAAGTTTAAAAGAAATGTATTTGAATTTTAATGGACAAATAGAAAATATTTTATTAATGATTGAAAATTTGAACAAGATATGTATATATATATATATATAGGAAGAGTGTAAAGTAATAGTAGGAATTGAGAAAGAAAATTTTGAAAAGCTTCATTATTTCAACAAACAAAAATCTCTCTTTGCATTTTTCACTTTTATATAATATAAAAACTCAAAAGAATATATTTAATTGCATACCAATTACTATTACACTGAAATATCAATTTGACAAGTTTTTAACTTCACATTTTTGAAGTCATGCAAAATATAGCATATTTTCTTAGTTTAAATATTTTGTGTAACACTTAAGTACATAATTTAAATTCATTTCTGAATAATGAAAGAAATTAATAAAAATTTTAATATCCAATTTATTATATATGTTAATGTAATTTAGGTATATAAAAAATACAATAATAATTTCATAATTAATGGATGCTAGTATGAAAAAGTTATTTTGTCCTGATTATTATATAATTTTAAGGAGATACTTGTGCATATATTATTGCAACCATGAAGGAGGAAACAGTCAAATTCTGGTAACCCAAAGCCAGTTTCAAGGCAACGATATACATAATTTCTTATCAAGTTACAACAAATAACAAGGACATTTCAAAGATTTTTTCCCCTCCAATCAAAATTTCCAAAAAATCAGGTTGTGGGATTTGCCAACAACAGGAAAAAAATGCAATAAAATTACTTGAAATGCAAATGCTCCCATTTGAATGTCATAAAGACGACTTTTTGGAAAATGTGTTAAAAATTTATTAAATATTTGGAATACAAATAGGGATTGGTTTTAAAAACAATCATGAGTCTCAAACCACTGCTGTACAATTTATATACAGCAGTATATAAATTGTACAGCAGTGCCATTTTTAAGCCATAAGAATAAGCCATTCTTAAGTCAATTGCATTGAAATTTCTCCCCCACCCCCTAAAAACCCCCAATTACAGAACTTGACATAAAAGCACACAATTTTTAAAAATTAAATAAAAAAAAGAGAAATTTTTCATATAACTGTACAAACATATACACAATAGCGTTTTACTTCATTAATAACCATTTCTTGAAATTCATTGACACGGTTATGATGATACAAAAAAATACCATTTTAAGAACACTGAAATCAATCACAGGACTTTTTAATATAGAGGGTGTTGGTCTCTTTTTTTAGAACTATCAGTTACTTTTAGTTTATACAATCATACTATAAAGAGAAAAAGTATTTCTTCCTTTCAAATAATATTCCTTCAATATAATTTTAAAAATTATTGGTAAATATAGTATTTACTTTTTCAAAAGTATTTTTCAAATAACATAAATACAAAATAAACTTAGTACAAGTGTAAGAAATTTTTCAACATCAGAAAATTATATTTCGCCAAAAAATACAAATTATGTTCATAATACTGAACATGAAAGGAGAGAATAGAAAATGCCATTGCTACCCAGATAATGCATTCAAACAAGTAAAGAATGACTTACTTATAATATTTACAGAAATAAGAAATGTAAATGAAGCTAAACTAAACTAATAAAGATTATAGATATCTCAATATCTAAAATTATACACAAAAAATTTCATTTACAAACTGCAGATATAATTCACTATGCTACATGAAGAGAGCTTGCCATAGTTATTATTCTCAGAGGCTTAGAATTCAAAAGCAATTAAAAAGCACTTATCTATGGTACTACCCCATGATGATTGAACATATGATTCATATAAGATGTACGAAAGGTAAAAGAACTGTTACAAATCTTGCAGTTGTATGGTTTTTCACCAGTATGAATTCTCATATGAGCATTTAAACTTGCTTTGTGTTTCAATTTTTTTAAACAAACAGTGCAAACAAATGACTGTTCTTGAAACTGAGAGTCCTGTAAAGACACCTGTTCTTGAGATTGCAACAAATCTGGGTTTTGACCAACCACAGGTGCACTCCCAATTAATGGAGATAGGCCATATTTGTACTTATCTACAGATTTCTGGCTTTTTGACTGTGAGCTTCTCCCAAAAGCCTGTTCTTGACACCGAGCAAGATCTTGAAATCGAGATGGCTGAATAACATTTCCTGAAGGACTATTAACAATAAAAGATGTTCCATAATTGCCTGTTTCTATACTTTTCTTAGAGTTAGAATGCAACCAAGCTGGAAAAAAAAACGTTTATTATTGTAATTACATATCACTCAATAAAATTATAAATGTATTAACTTATGAAATTTTTACAAATGCAATTAAATGCAGAAAAAAAAACACATGTGTTCTTAATACATAAACAAGCCAAATTAATATAAAACATCACATTTTATTTATATAAAACAGTTATTTTAAATTTAACGCATTAGAAAATAAAAATTTAACCAAGGAATTGATATTTTAAAGATAGGCTTCTTCCTTTCCCTCATCCAGTAATTTTTAAATCCTCTCCAAATAGCTGTTGAATATATGACTTGATTTTTTAAAAAACACCTTTTATAGATTTAGCAGATATACCAATTTTAAGCAAAATTGGAAATTCTTTCATAAATACAAAAAAAAAAAAAAAAAAAAAAAAATCACATTTTTTTAAGGCACTTGCTTGATACATTAAAAATGCAAGGAGCTTAATTAGAGCATATGATTTAATCAAAAAGAATTTTCATTTTAAAAGCTATTAAGTTTACAATTTTGATATCTACAAATAAATTTTTAATTAAATTCTAAAGATGTGAATAAAAAAAAATTTATCAATTTATAAGTTATCACATTTGTTACAAAGAAAAATGATTTAGACATTACCTCTTAAATTTGCATGATTAAAAAGAAAAGATAAATATTTAAAGTAACAAAAATTCAAAATAAAATGTTCAGAATTATTATGGAACTCAAACATGATATGCAAATTCCTTTTAATACAGTACAATTATTCTAACAATAAAGAAAATACTTACTACTTTATACACACATGCATATTACGAATATTCGTATTGAAAACATTTATTGTAAAGTTATTACCTGTACAAAGATATTGCATGTCTCATGTATATTTTTCTCGAAATTTATACAAAAGTGTAAAGCACTCAACAAATCATACAAAATTAAATCAGTAAACTTTTAAAGTTCAGAACTTTTATACAGATCAAAAATTTTTGAAAACAATAATTACTGAGATATTACGCAAAATTTCACATATATTAAAACCAAAAGAAAATCTAATACATAATGAAATTTTTTTTAAAAAATACAGAAAATACATGAAAATGACAATTCTGTTCACTTTTCAAACAATAAAAAAACAAAAATAAAGAAAATAATTTTGATACCAAAAATTGTTTCAATTTTCAATATCAAAATATATACATATGTAAATTAACAGGAAATGGAATTTAAAAAAATGTATTGTAAATTATAAAAACTATTATAAGATTATACAAATTAAATTTTATAGATTACAATAAAAGATCAATATCAGATTCTCAGAATGATCAATATTCAATTCAAAAGAAATAAAATACTGAGTAAAATATAAATAATATATTGAAGTAAATATACTTTAGTTAAACTAACTTCTACAGAAAAATTTCAAATCCAGTTATTAAAATATTTTAAATCTATACAGTTAATTATTAATTCCTGCATGTGTGCTTCAAACTGGGCCTGTGAAACAAAAGCATGCTTAGCAATTTTATGATATATCTACTTAAATCATTATTATTCCAATTAAAATAATGTGAAACCAAAACAAAAAAATATTTTACCAATTTTAAACTTATTTTTTTTAAAATCTTATGCTTGCCTATGACCCTTTGGTCACAAGTTGACAAACAGCCAAATAAAATGTAGAATGATAAATGTAGTCAACAACATTCAAATACAGTTTAAAACAGCAGGGCATATAATGAGGTGAGTGAGTGAATATTAACACCACACTATTTCGCTACTTGAGGGCATTTGGACCTTGTAATTTTGAACCAAAGTCAAGTGACAAGGACAACACCTGAGCTGGCAACCCCCTCTCCTAACTTTCACACTACATTAAAGGGAGGATATTTGAGTATTCGACAAGTTTAATGTCTATGGCGGGTTTTCAGCAGTACTCAGCTCAAACTCAAGGCATGCCAGCCATGAGTCCATTATCTTGACCACCAGGTAATACTCAATCATGTGTACATAACAATCACAAAGAGGGCAGGAATCTGCCTTCCCTTTGTATACAGATAATCCTGCAAAAATTTATGACCAGTAGGAAGTCCAAAACAGGTCATGCTAATTGCTCTATTCAAGGCAACAAGTTGTAAGTCATTTGGGGAAAACAGGAGGCACCACATGTAGGCAACTGACTTCACCGCCCATTTATTTGTTCTAAAATAGTGCAAAAATAGGAGCTTCATAAATGCAATGATTCTTAACATGGACATTATTGATTTTATATCCATTTCAATAACTGATTTGTTCCTCTAGTCTTAACTCCAGTTTAGAACAAAGTCTTCTACAAGTTAACAAAATCATGACTTATTTCTCTTCTATTGAAAAATGTTCATTGTTTTTCTATAGGTGAATTAACCACATACTTAACATCGATACAATAGTATTATACTATCGACTTTACATCTAAATATAAGTTTTCTTAGCAGAACTTTTAATTATGAGATTATGATGTAATGATTTTACAATAACATAAGAAATTTGGGCTGGTGCCTCATTCTACAAACCTCAAAAATATTCTATCAATACTTAAAGACAAGTTTAAATGGAACATGTAAAAATTTTCAGTAGAATCAAAATTGATTGATTGTTGATAAAAATTGCACTTCAAAGGAACACAGAGTTATTGAGGATG